TCATCTTCATCTTCATCTTAATCTTCATCTTCATCTTCATCTTCATCTTCATCTTCATCTTCATCTTCATCTTCATCTTCATCTTCATCTTCATCTTCATCTTCATCTTCATCTTCATCTTCATCATCACCATCACCATCATCATCATCATCACCACAATCATCAGCATCAACATCATCATCATCATCTGCAGCCTCGGCATTCTTGTCACCGTCGTGGTGGTCAGCATCGCAGTTGTGGCTGTTGTTGTTGTTGCTGTTGCTGTTGTGGTTGTGGTTGTGGTTGCGTTTATGTTGCTGTTGCTGTCGTTGTTGCTGCTGCTTCTGCTGATGTTGATGTTGGTGTTGTTGTTGTTGTTGCTGCTGCTGCTGCTGTTGCTGTTGCTGTTGCTGTTGCTGTTGCTGTTGCTGTTGTTGTTGTTGTTGTTGATGACGATGATGATGATGCGGTTGTCGTTGTTGTTGGTGGTGGTGCTGATGCTGGTGCTGGTGCTGGTGGTGGTGCTGCTGCTGCCGGTGCTGGTGCTGCTGCTGCTGGTGCTGGTGCTGCTCTTGCTCTTGCTCTTGCTCCTGCTCTTGCTCTTGCTCTTGCTCTTGCTCTTGCTCTTGTTCTTGCTCTTGCTCTTGCTCTTGCTCTTGCTGTTGTTGTTGTTGTTGTTGTTGTTGCTGTTGCTGTTGCTGTTGGTGTTGTTGTTGGCGTTATCGTTATCGTCGTTGTGGTGGTGGTTGTGGTGGTGGTGGTGGTGATGGTTTTGCAGTTGCTGTTGCTGTTGCTGTATCTGTTGCTGTTGCCGTTGCTGTTGCTGTCGCTGCTGCTACTGCTGCTGCTGCAGCTGCCACTGTTGCTGTCGTCACAGTCGTCGTCGTTGTCGTCGTCCTCGTCCTCGTCCTCTCGTCATCGTCGTCGTTGTTGTCGTTGTCGTCGCGTCGTCGTCGGCATAGTCTGGTCGTTGTCGTCGTCGCCGGTGCCGGGATTGTCATGTTTGGTTTTGTTGTTTGTTGTTGTCGGTTGTGCTTGTGATGGTTTTGTAAACCGTCAAAGTTGAGTATCTTCAGACTAGCAATTGCGGTGGTGCTGCCTTCAACTCATCCAAGCTTCGAGCCCTTTGACCACAAGTTAGCCATAATTGACCGTCACAGGTACTACGAGTATACCCTTCATGTTGATTGCTGTCGTTTCTTATCTCTGCTTGTGACCGAGGAGACTCCAAATTGACGCGTGCCGGGCACGTGGACTTGTTGAGAGGACCTGCAAACCCTCACGAATATGAAGCAGTACACCTCGTGACAAAGCAAAGATGGAAGTCTTCAATCTTCACTCGCAGGGCGATGCCTTTCTTGGAAACAAAAAGACTACGGTTGCAAGTACGACATATTGCTGAGAAGTCGAGTGGCACTCGTAGGGCTAAATACTCGTCCTAGTCTTGTTGGTACCAACAAAAATCCATCGCCCGTCTACGGCAAAACCCCGACGGGAAATAACAAGTCTAGCACCACCAGTAGTACTAAGTAGTAATCCGTAACGGGAAGTCGTCATGCTCGCAGTATTCGTGAAAATGCACGCTAGCTCTACAATGACTATCAACTATCACATGCTCAAACATGACAAGAAGAACATACGTGCTGTCAGCAAGACTGCGAGCAGCAGCAGCAGCAGCGGCAGCGGCAGCGGCAGCGGCAGCGGCAGCGGCAGCGGCAGCGAAGTCCATTACTCGAGGTGACGTCGACAAACGCGCACACGAAACACACGGTTCCATGACGAACCACGACTCCGGACATACGACACAGACGAAGAGGCCTAGCAGTGTTGACAGTGCTAGCAATGTGCACACAGACAATGACAGGTCATATCAGCAGAGCAGGGTGCAGGCATTCACACTTCAAATGCCATCGCTGATACCAGCGATTATAGAAGGGAGACTGACAAGGATGTTAACCACTACCTGCGCCACCACTGCTGGGTTCCGACTCCGACGAGGTCTTACGCTCGTCGCTGGGGGGTGATGCCTTGACGATGCTTCTGGCCGGGTGCTGATCCCTGAGCCGCTGTAGCAGTAGCAGTCAGTAGCAAAGGGCCCCTAAACCCTAAACCCTAAACCCCTAAACCCTAAACCCTAAACCGGTCCTCAACAGCACTGGCATGAAGTACGGCTGAGCATGAAGGCAGCAGTAGAGACAAGAATCCAGCTATCATCGTCACCAGCCATCATAATCATCCTTAAGGCCCGTCCAAATTAACGAAAGCAGCAGAGGCATCTTCAGCCTCCCTTCTGGTTTAGGGTTTAGGGTTTAGGGTTTAGGGGTTTAGGGGTTTAGGGTTTAGGGGTTTAGGGGTTTAGGGTTTAGGGGTTTAGGGTTTAGGGTTTAGAGTTCGAACTCGTAGTCGTAAGTCTCTACGCTGACCGGAAGCCATCGCCTCCTGGCTAGCCATGGCTACTCAGCACAGAACTTAGGGGTACTTCGAAATACGTCTTCATTTTTGGGCTACTGTAATCCCTATAAGAAACAGCTGACATCAGAATGTTCTGCTAGGGTCCCAAGTGCAGTGTAGAGAACAGAAGCAGCTCCCACCCTAAACCCTAAACCCTAAACCCTAAAGCAGCTCCGGGAAGCTTGAAAAGGTGACGGTGCATCCGGCCGTGACCTTTTCAGAGCAGCCGCGATCCCAGCGAGAAGCGAGAGCTGCCGAAGCATGCCAGTTCCTTCGTATCATAATACTATAGAGGAGCTATTATTCTTATTCTTATTCTTACTCTTATTATTCTTATCATAGTACTATAAAGGAGCGCAAAACCATATTCTAATTATTAAGGCCCCTGCATTTGCACCATGCTTCGTGAGTGCCTTGAGCTTCCATGCGTTCCGCAAGGGCGGTTCTTTTTCTTCAGTTCACGGTCTGTTCAACTGTCTGTTGGGATGGCTTGTCATTGTATCGCTACGACTTCTTGTAGATCAATGTCCAAGAATTTCCGGTGGCAACTTTACAGTCTTTGAGCCCTGAGAAAGGTCCCGAATTGTCTCCAAAGGGCATGACGCCAATTCAGTCTTCTTGATCTCCATTGTCGGAGAGCCTCGTACCGTGCCCTTCTTTTCCATTTCTTGTTTCATGAAGCTCCACGTGCACCCACATAGCCAGCACAAGCCCCAACAGGACGATCGAACCGTTGCCCCTGCAGAGTCTGCTGGGGTACCCTGCATCCTTCAGTTCGTAAATTTGCTCTCGAACCTGGTGCATGCAGACTTTTAGTCCATGGCTTTCGGGAAGTTTCTGTGAAGAGGGAGCTGAACGCACATCCTATTATTATTAATGTTATTATGATTATTACTATTATTATTAGTACTACTATTATTGTTACTATTATTACTATTACTATTATTATCAGTATCAGTATTATTATTACTATTACTGTTATTGTTTCTGAGACATGGAACCTCCCAGCTGTCCACATGGCTCCTGCCAAGATCTCTGACATCGTTGAGATTCGCGGCAAAAGCGAGGTGTGCCACGACCCTGGTCCAAGCGGCGAGGGTTTGGGTTTAGGGTTTAGGGTTTAGGGTTTATAGGGTTTAGGGTTTAGGGTTTAGGGTTTAGGGTTTAGGGTTAAGTTTGGGGGTGCAGGGCTCCGGTAACTCCACACCCGAGAACAGTTCTTGGTAAAATGGGGTCGAGTTTCTTGATATCACCAGTCTCTGGACAATTTCCTGGGAGTCTTTCCTTCTGCAGCTAGTCCGTGTGCAAGGGGAGGAGCGCACACGGCTTGATGCCGGAATTGAGATCGCGCGAAGCTCGATGCATCGCCAACAAACCTTCAACCCTTAACCTGAGGTGGAGAACTGCATACCCTCCTACACAGAGGCTGCGCGTTATGACGAGGACTTCCAGGGGGGACTTTCTGCATCCATCGAGTAGAGTCAACATCGACTAGGGCATAAGGCCGGCGATAAAGGGACCCTCTTCCATGACAGGCGCCTTCTTGTTATTATCGACACCTGAGTAATTACTGAAACTATCTATATTGAGCTGGAGAACTCGGCTGCGATGAGGAAGCGTGCCCTGTTGTCTGCCCTGTTGTCTGCAAGGGAGACGCCCCTTTTGCGGCCATGATACACGCTAGACCCGAAACCTACAACCCTCAAAGCAGTAGATGCCCGAATCCCAAGTCGGAATAATCCCCCTAACCCCGGATTTCCAAAGCCTTCAACGCTCAACCCTATAGGCCCTCAACCCTCAACCCTACAGGCCCTAAGCCCTAAACTAAACGAACCTAACCCCTGAGCCCATAGCCGTCAACCCTCAAACCCAAGCCCTCAACCCTCAACCCTATAGGCCCTAAACCCTAGACTAAAAAAGAGCCGTCATGGCTTAACCCTTAACCCTATAGGCCCTAAACCCTAAACTAAAGGAGCCGTCATGGCTTAACCCTTAACCCTATAGGCCCTAAACCCTAAACTATCAGAACACCCTATAGGCCCCAAACCCTAAACTAAAAGAGCCGTCATGGCTTCGGCTCTGGAGGAGAAGCCGTCCCTCGGCACTCGTCTCGTGGAGGTTCCACGGCCCTGAGCCGAGGTTTAGAAACTTAAGGCGTTTAAAGTGCAGGGTTTGGGAGTCTAGGGATTTCGGCGCAAGGCTGAAGGTTTAGGAGTTTGGGGCTTAGAGCTCCGGGTTTGAATTGAATGGTTGAGGTTTTGGGTTGGGAGCTTAGGTTTGGGTTTTGGGGCCTACGGACTCGAATAGCGGTTCAGTTTGCTCCACAGTCTTTGGCCCAAGAATCCATGAACAATGCAAGCCCCCTGTTAAGGGCACAAAGCAAGGGGGTTGGCTAAGAAGGGGCCCACCAATAAACATGGCGTATCGTCGCCCCCTAAGCAGCGAAGACCTTGAGGCCTCGAGGATTGGTTTTGGAGTCTAGTGCGCAGGGTCTTGTCGGATTCGGATCTGGCGGCTTGGGGGGGTGGGTTGAAGCCTTGAGGTCAGGAATCAGTCTAATTATTATAGGGCCACAAATAGCAGAAGTCATTCTTCCTATTCAAGAAAGCCTTTACATTGCTTCAAAGGCTTGGCCCGGGTCTGGGCAAGCATTCCTGACGAAGAACCTCGTAGAGCTCCATGTTCCTTCCTTCAAGCTCATGCAAACACCGCACTGAAACAGCTGGCTACAAGTATGCAGATGGCTGCAGTCTTTGGCTCATGAGGCAGTGTTTGCAACTCCTGTAAACCTTGCTACTTGCAGCCCTTAACACCAGAAGAAGACCGATACCCTAAACCCCAAATGCCCCAAATCCTACAAGCCGTCCTGGCTGCGCAAGGGCTTCTCGGAGAGACAGCGTGCGCTCTCGCCAAGGGCTGAGAGCCTTTCGTGGGGGAGGGCTTCTGTCCCAACTCATTGTGATTATACTAGAAGGTACGACGAGATGATTGCAAAAACGGCACAGTAGTCGCCAGCTTCGAGCTAATAACGTAATTGACGTCTAGCTATATGTGATAAGTGATAACAGATGCTTCGCGACGGTGTAAGGTGGCATGGAGCACTTGCCGCATATCTCAGGTGTAGTTCGCATCATTCCTATGCTGAGCAAGCGCGAAGTTTGCTTCGGTGCTATGGCTAAGGTGGTAGATGATCGCAGTACTGTCCAACAGCAGTGCTGGGTGTGAATAATGCTGTTGTGTTCGCCACGGGGAGGACTTTGATAAGTTCTGCTCTGCTTGCAAAACAACAAAGCTTTCGTTTTCTCGCACGACAATCCTGCTATTTGACGCGTTTCCACTATCGCTGCCATCACCCAGGAATTCCGGCATACCAGCAGGACTCCTCCTGGTGCGTGCTCCCGTCAGAGTTGCATGTGTTCTTTGTGGCTGCCGGATGGGGATGGGCAGCAGATGTTCTGCCTCGGTTCAGGTGAGGGTATGAGGAGTGAGTACTCCAAGATCATAAACAACGCGGTCGCAGAAATATCAATGTCGTAATACCGTACCTGTGGCAGTGGTGCGTGACAGTAGAATATATGCAAGAATAACCATGCGTCGACGCTTTTTTTCGTCTATATCCATCCTGCAAAGTCGGATGCTCGCAAGAAGGACCCATAAAATAAGGTATCCCCTGAAAACTTAACCCTAGACCCCGAACCCAAGACCCCCTGAGCCCTTCAACCCTAAGGTTGAAGAAGCCCAGCCCATGTTGCCACAATGACACCCCGAGGAGTGACGGACGCTGCTCAGCGTGGCCGAAGAGCCCAGGCGACCTCGGCTGTTTCGGAAAGCTTGTGTTGCAAGCCCAAGGTTGGGTTTAGGCTTTAGGGTTAAGGGTTTAGGGTTTAGGGTTTAGGGCCCAAATCAAAGTGCTCTACGCTTTTTTAAACCGGAAAAGCACAGTTTTTTTTCGTTCCGGGTTGAATCGGGAGTAGAAGATCGGGTTGCTCTGAAAGGAATTACAACAATGGTACACGCAAGTATTCCCTATAAAGTTACTTAAGACCGTTTGGGACATCATATTTATATATTATATAGAAGCCTGGATGATTAGTAGTATTCTTCCTTAGGGTTTCCACTTGTAATTATAGTGTGCCCCTGACACCCTGATCCAGACATCGGGCCGCAAAAGTACCGCCATGGATTGAAAATGTCATGTGGATCTCGGATTGCCTGTAACAGGGAGACCATCGAGACTGTTGAAGATTTACGTAATGAGGGTCAGAACGCAAAAGCCCGTAACACCGGAACTTCTACGTCCGAAGGCCTTGAGCCCTCAAATCCGAATCATGTGGCGGTGTGGGAAAGACGTTCTATTGACCGTATATGGGTAATTAGTTCTCTAAATTGGGGTCCCCTTTAAGGGTCCTTTATAAGGGTGCCGTACTATGTTCGGGACAAAAAAAGGGACCCTAATTTAGAGAACTACCCATATGATGATGCTTCTGGAGTAGAGCATCGAGACCGGCACCCCCCCTAAGAGGAAGCGACCCTGCACCAGGAGATCATGCGACACAACGGATGCGTAGAAAAGCACACAAGATCACAGGCAGCAATATTATTAGTTAACGGTAACTTGCCTTATATAATCCTAAGCCAGCCCAAGAGACCGAGGTAGTAGCAACCAGGTCTATTTCTCGAGATGTTTGGTGGTGTAATGTCGACAGTGTGGAAGATGTTAGCACTTTCACTTATGTTTTGGAAAGGTGCCAGAAGCAGACCGTTTGAATAATAACTGCGACCTCTGCATCGCTGCTTCAGAACAATGATTCTTGAAAGACAATTCCCGAGGGTTCCTTTATATGCTGATAGTATGGAAGTTCCCAAAGCCCTGCATTTTTTATGCAGGGTCCTGTACTGCAGTTTTGTAGATTAGAGGGGTCGATCAGCAGCAACCGGCACTCTTGAACCCCAATCCGAAATTCTTACAGAACCAAAGATTTCGTATCGAAGACATTATAGAAACCTTTCCTACGGAAGCCATCATAGAGGCCCTTAAGAAACCCTTCTAAAGCCACCCTCCCAAAGCCTGGAGATTTCTCTGTGCAAGACCGGATGGGACCGCTAGGCTACAAGATGTGAACCTTTAGGGCGTAGGGTTTCAGGATTAGGGTCTGGACTTCAGGGTTTCAGGGTTTCAGGGTTAAGGGTCTAGGATTTAGGGTTTAGGGTTTAGGGTTTTAGGGTTTAGGGTTTAAGGTTTAGGACCTCCAGACTCTATACGGTTTTAGTATGGCTTGGGCTTCAAAGGGTCTCTATAGTTTTGATAAGGGGCCCCTGTTGGGATTTCTATACAGGCTGCGTGAAGCTTTTCTCTGTGTTTCGACTCTTGTGTATAGGTTCGGGGCGCATGGATACACAAACCCAATTACCCAACAGCTTAAACCCTAAACCTTAAACTTTATGTAAACCCTAAACCCTAAAACCCAAACGCCTTGAGCCCTAAACCTTAAACCCTACAGCCAAAACCCAGTAGCCCTAAGCCCTGAACTCAAAATGAATCAGCTGCAAGGATGGCCGCAGCGGAGAGCCTCCTGTACAGCTCCAGAAGGACTTCGTGACACTTCGGTCTGAGACGACAGGGTGGTTTTACCAACAGGGTCCAAAGGACCCAAAAGTAAAATAGTAGCCATGTGCCTGTAGTCTCCATTGTCGTTCCTTTTTGGGGATACGTTATAAAATCCTAATATATAATTGGTTAAACCAAAAACAGGAACCACAATGGAGACTATAGGTAAGATCTAGTTTGGACAGCATATTGCAATTTGGTACTTGGACCCTTCGTGTTACTGTAGGGGCCTTCTACATAGAACAGCTTGTTTACGGGGCTTATGGGGTGCGCTTACGAGTTCATGAGGGTCTCACAAAGTTTCGTCTTATGGGTTTATAGGGTTTTTTGGGCCTTATATAGTAGCCTTAAAGTTAACGGGTCTACAGGTTTTCGACTAGCATAGGGGCCTTACTACTTAGAAAAGACTTGTGGGGTACAGTATAGTACGTAGAAAAAGATAACCATGTGTGTAGATTATGCATTTAATACTCTCTCTCTCTCTCTATATATATATATAAACTACAAGGGGGTATCTTGACAAGGTCCTTATATTGAGGATCCTACCATTTAGTGTTTGCATCAGGGTCACCGTTTTTTTTTCTGAAGGCCGCATATGGCAGACGATCCCGGACGATCCTCCTATCTGGGCTTCTTTTTCTGATTCACACCCCGAGTTTGAAACCGCAGAGGAACTGGATACCTGAAACTTCAAGCTTCGAAGAAAGTCGAGCCAGACCTGAACCCCTAGCAGCCTTACGGCCTGACAGCCCTAAACCCTAGCCTAGAATCCTAAACCTGAAACCGTAAGACCCTAAACCCTGAGCCCCAGAGCTTGCCTAACCCCTCCCTTTAGGAAACCCTGTTGACATACCATCAAACCTTCTAAAACCTTATGGAGCTCCTACGAAGCCCTTGTAAAAACCCTTTTTACCCTGTTCCGAACCGTTGATAAAAGCTGAAACCCCTCTTAACCTTATGACAAACCTCTGTAACACCATACTACCTGAGTAAGATGAAACCGTAAACCCCTTACCTCAAACCACTAAGCCCCTAAAGCCCTCCTAAACCCTAAACGCCTAAACCCTAAACCTCTCTAAACCCCTCTAGACCCCTCCAGACCCCTCTAAACCGTGCAAAACGAGAGCTGAGGCCTCCCTGCACAAAGCCCTGGAGTCGAACTCGATCTCCTGAAGGGTTCGGGTTTAGGCTTTAGGGTTTAGGGTTTAGGCTTTAGGGTTTGGGGTTTGGGGTTTAGGGTTTCTTGGGGTTTAGGCTTAAGCCTGTACACCCCGGTAAACCTCTCTCAACCCTTCTATTCCCCTCTCAACCTCTATAAACCGCTCAAGCAGGAGCTCAGGCAGCTCAGGGCCGAGCTGGCGGAAAAGGAGAGGGAGCTGGCGACCAAGGTGGGGGGAAACGGGGGAAAAGGGGCCTCCTTTTTAGGGGTTCTGAAGGGTTCTTAAGGGTTCTAGAGTTTAGGTTTTGGCTAGAAAGGGTTTTAGAAGGATTCTAGAAGGTTTCGATAAGGGTTCCAGAAGGGTTCAGGGTTTAGGGGGTAAGGATTTCGGGCTTATCGGGGGTTTAAAGATTAGAGGTTGAGGGGTTTAGGGCTTAAGTTAAGTTGCAGGATTTCAGGGTTTAGGATCTAGGTTTCGGGCTTCAGGGCTACAGGGTTAGTTAAGATTTTCAGGGCAGGCGGGGTTTAGTTTAGTTTGGATGCCTTATCGTTGAGGGCGGAGGGTTCCGGGTTCAGGACCTTTTTGTGTAGGGTTGTAGTTTCGATGTCTTGCAGGGAGGTTGTTTGTGGGACTTTTTGGGGTCGTCTATTGGTCTCGGCTGCATACGTGTAGTTTTCCTTTGTAGTGGACGTGTACCACGCCTTCTCTGGGTGCAGGACTGATATTCAAGTGCGTGAAGTGGCACGTCACGTAATATTTCATATAGGAGCTCAAATAATCACCGATATGATTCCTTAGGGTTCCTATAAAATATACAGAGGCCCAAAACCCTATTCTAATTATTAAGGCCCCTAAACGTAGATAGAACTTGCTGAGGCGAACCCCCCTAGAGCCAAGTCGAACTGTACTCGAACTCCAGCCCTGAAGCCATTCTGCGCTGAAGCAGGGTCGCTTTTCTGGCAGTCCGATTCTAAGGGGGTATTCTACTACACTACCTTATATTCTACTATATATATATATACACACGAATAAATTCTCGTTATTGTTATTGTTATTCCTAATACTCTGTATTTATAAATGCTACTCAAGAGAAGCCTTTGCACTCTCGGTAGGCCCGGTTGCTCTCCGAACGCGATCGCCAGTGAGGGCCCCAAAACTAGGGTTTAGGGTTTAGGGAGTTTAGGATTCAGCGTTTAGGGTTTAGGGTTTAGTAGGGTGCAGGGTTGCATAGTGTTTCGGGTTAGAGAACACTGCAGGATGCAATCCTGCAGATTAGAGGGTTCTTTTTGCACTACAAGGGCCCGTGGGCATCCTGATAGAGCATCGTGTTGCAGGTCGTCGTACGCACATGTTGCTATTCTTGTTGTAGTTTGTGCGGTCGCTGCTGTTTTCACTAGCCTGCTGTCCAACATGATGTCTTTCTGATGCGGCTGCGAAGCGAATTCCTGGCCGCGAGCCTAGCCTTACAGCTAATCAGCCAATCTTATCACTTGGATTTGATGATCTGGCATTTGTTGTTGGCATCCTCTCCCCCAACTTGTGTTTTCCTCAGTGCTGCTCCTACATGGCTTTCTTTCGCACGCCCGCTTTGTGCGCTCGTTGAGCTATGAATGCTTTCTTCTGGTTCTCTTCTGACCCGTGCTGTCGTCTACTATAGGGGCCTTAATACTTACCTATACTCTTCGGGCGGCTCTTTATTAGACTTAGAGTCCAATATATCCTTATTATACTTATAGCATATTATAGCATAATATACCCCAACACCCTGTTCTAATCATTAAGGCCCTATAGTACTTCTTTACAGTTCTTAGTTTAGTGTTACCCCCCGCTCGCGACCGAGGCTTGGCCAGCTCCGAGAACAGCTGGACATGGTCTGCCCTTCAGGGCTCGGGGGTTTTGGGCTTCGCGATATTGGGGCCTTTAGTGGTGGGAAGAGGGTTTGGGGATATCTTACCGTATAACTATAATAAGGAACCCTATCAATCTTTGATGAGTTATTCAGGCCCCTACTCGTATCTTACTAATGTTCAGTAGGGTTGGGGATTTGGAGATCAGGGCATAGACCTTGTGGTTTTTCGGGTGTAGTGCCCGAGCAGCGAGGAGTCGAGGGGTGTGAACGGTTCAGGGACTCGAAGGTTTGTTCTGGAGCCCTTTTTAGCCTGCCTGGAGACGAGAGGAGGCATTCACTCTCTGCGAAAAACACCACCCGGCAGAGAACCCTCTATAAGCTGTCCTCCTTGTTTTTGTAACAAGTCAGTGGCTCACAAGCATTCGGCCGTCCGGGCAGCCGTTTGGCAGCTCTTCATTTAGTGCCGGTTCTCACCACCCATTTCTTCAGAGCCATGCAGCTGCCGACATTGCTCACACGTACCAGGAGGCCGGTTTCGTGTCTGGGGTCACTGTGCCGGGTTTCGCGCTTGTATTTTGGAATTCTGAAGGGTATCGGAAGTCCGATGAAGTAGAGCGTGCTGTATGGTCTGAGGGCTCATCTCGGTCGCCAGCACCATCTGAATCTATATATATATATATGCACATGTATACACACATACACATACACTTACAAATGCACATACACATACACGCAGCAATACTCGTAGACACATGCATACATACGTACACACACATATACATACATATGCATCTACCGACCTACCTACCTACCTACCTACCTACCTACCTACCTACCTACCTACCTAATTAGTTACCTACCTACCTACCTACCTACCTACCTACCTACCTACCTACCTATCTACATACATACATACAGACATACATACATACATATGCGCACTCATAGGCCATCATCGCTGCACACGCTTCGGTTGTGTGATGCATTCGGCTTGCTTGAGATGGGCTGGAAAGAGGTTCTCCGAGAACCTCGGTGTTGGCTTGTCGCGTTTCCGCAGTTTCAACACCGTCGCTGCACCCCTGGACGACCGAGCCCTGCAGCCGACTCATGTCCCTCCGTAGACCGCGACCTCCCACCTTCGGTAATTACTTGGCAGCAGTTCATGTCAACCGCTGCCAGGGAGACAACTCCTCCAGCGGAGGAGGCCCTCAAGGCGATGGGTTGCATTCGGTTGCATCATGGTTCTTTCAATATTTTCGCTGGAGTAGCTGTCGCGACTCGTCTGTGCGGTTCCGATAGGATTTTCCCACGGATCTGCCGAATATGTTTGAAAAGAAAAAGGCGTTGGAAGCCATGCTGCAGAGGCCTTTCTTTGCACAGTGATATGTCTGATATGTGAACCCAACCGCAAGTCTTGAACCCTAGAAGACTGTGATGTCATTTGTATTGCATTGTGTTGTATGGTGTTGTATTGCATTGGACTGAGTTGCAGTGTATTGCATTGGGTTGCATTGTGTTTTGCTGTATTGTATTTGTAATGGTATTTGTACTATATTTTGCGATGTTGTATTGTATTTCACTGTCTTGTGTATTTCACTGCCTGGCATTGCATTGCATTGTACTGCGAACTTATATGGTGTTGTATTCCATGGTATCGTGCTGGTGTTGTATTATGCCAGATTGTGTTATTACTAAACCGTAGATGTCATATATTATATATGGAACCTTTGATACTACATGCCCTAATCTAGACCCTGAACCCTAAACCCCTAAACCCCTAAACCCGACACCCTAAACCCTAATCCCTAAACCCCTAAACCCTACACCCTAAACCCCTAAACCCTAAACCGTTGCAAGTGCGGCTTCTTACAGGACCCGGCTGAGCCTGAGGCTGAGGCTGCAGCTGCCGAGGACGACGCCGTCGGAACGTGCCTGGGCGCGCGCGAGTCGTCTTCGCGGTTTTGGGGGTGCAGACTTTTAGGGGTTAGGGTTTAGGGGTTTGGGTTTAGGGTTTAGGGTTTAGGGTTTAGGGTTTAGGGGTTTAGGGTTAGGGTTTAGGGTTTAGGGGGGTTTGAATTCAAAGAGCCGATGCCAGCATTGTTTTTTTTGCCCTTGGCATGAAAACCTACCCTTAACCCTAAACCCTAAACCCACACTGTAAATGGTTTTCGGGCTTTCCCATAGGGCCTACAGCGGCTATTGTCATCAGTCCCGGGATGTTCGGTTGGGTTTTTTTTAATATAGGGGTTTCCGAAAATAGGGGACCCTAATATAGCACCCTAAATACTAGGATCCCTATTATAAGGATTCCAAAATAAGGTACCCCTTTTCGGAAGCTCCCATATAGGTTCTTTAGACTATGAGGTTCCCTGCCGGGGGTTCTATGAAGCCTCCTAGCGTTTCGGTTTCCGGGGTGTTTGTAGGCTTTGGGGCTCTTGGGGTTTTGGGGTCAGCGTTTCTCGGGATCCTGGGTCTTTTACCTGTCTCAGAGACTCATCCGGATGTTGAAGTTCGTGTTCGGCTTGATCAGAACAGGTTCCATTTCGAACAGATGCATTGATGCGGACCAGAACTCAGAACCCTCCCACCGATGGATGCCGCCCGCTTACCAGACCTGATTCCTTTGCCCCAGGCCCAGGTGCAGGTGGACATACAAGTCCTCATTTGATGAGGCATGTCTAGTTCATCTTAAAGCAGCAATGGGGCAGTAAATTCTCCAAGCTGAACATCACCCAAACCCTGCCCCGGTGATTCACAGGGTGAATCCTCAAAACCGTGTATCTTAGAAGCCTGAATGTTTACCCATACTATTGCTTAGGGTTCCTGTCAGACCTATGGTATAACATTCCACCAAGAGTCTATTCTAATTCTGAACAGATCCTGATACTGAACCCTGATCGTAATCCTTACAAAGGACTCCTCAAAGAACTCTTGAAACGAGGCTTCTTGCAAGACTTTGATATTAAGGACGCTATACGAAACCCTTATAGTAATCCTGAGAGCCGCCGTGAAAGGAACCCCTAGCCTTTTAGGAACCTCTTGAAGTAGGCTCACAGAGTCCCTTTTCCCGCTAAACCCTAAACCCCTTAAGGGTTTAGGGTTTAGGGGTTTAGGGGTTTAGGGGTTTAGGGGTTTAGGGGTTTAGGGGTTTAGGGTTTAGGGGTTTAGGGATTTCGAGGTTTAGGGATTTAGGGTTTA